ACATATTTCGCTACTTAACTTTTAAAAAGAAAAAAACTTGCTACATCTCTAGGGAAGCTACTTGGACAAATTCTCAAACTGGAAAACAGGAAACCATTTCCATACTTAGGAAAGACGATCAAAACAGGTTTGGTGAAGGAATCAAGTTTTACGATGGGGACATCCTATACAATACTTTTCAAAAGTTTCCGGTATCTATACAAATCTTCTAATGACTACTCTGTCAAAACTGCTTATGCAAAGAGTATTATCACTTTGACTAGTCTTAAGACATCACAAAAAAATATTGAATCAACTTTTTGATTCAAAATTGCTTCAACATTCTACATCGTAAAACGTCTACCCGGTTTCAAACCTTTTGTTCGACCTCTATCTGCGTTACATTTTACAAATTTAAACGCCAAATAAATATTTCCCCCTTGCGTCTTGTAGCTAGTTTTGCCTACAAACTTAAACAAACAAATCCCTCCGACGAGTGTTCATAACAACCTTGAAAGATCCCGTCATTATTGCGTGGTGTACAAGTAGCGGGGTTTAGTCCGCTGTCACCATTTTAAATACTGGCGGAGTAAAAGTACTGTAACCCCTGTAACATCTTCGGTTAACCTTCAAGAATGCTTATCCCTGCGAGCGGGGCAAGGCTTACTGGTTCCACTAGTCAAGTCCCAAGATGGAAACAACCCTAAGATGTCAGTCGGCAGTTACGAATAACTCCAGTCGTTCATACCTTCATCTATTCACTATTTCTCATCCACCCATTTATCTATACTTAGTCTCATTCAACTCCAGTCATTTCTTACTTTCATCTAGACACACTTACTTATACACCCATTCATTCTAATATTTAGGTGGGGCAGTCTGTGTAGGTCGGATGTAAAAGGTCCTTCCCTGCTGACTGTCCCCAGACGAAACATGACATAGTTTAGAGTAATAGAGAAAGAAAAAAAGAAATAGAAAGAGAGAAAGAGGAGAAAGGATGACACGTATCTGTCACGTATCTAGACTTGTAGCTCTTTCCTGTGGCCCTGAACCTATCGCTCCGTTGCCCCTTTGGTACATTCTGGCTCTCTCCCTGGCCAAGATATGCACCGGTACAGAACCGGCCACCGCCTGTAAGGCAATGTTGATACAGTCCTGTACGCACTGCACACCCTGATCAGGGATTTCCTCTGAGCCCTGAAAGCATGTCTTTGTACTTTTTCATCCGAAGGACCTCGTGTCACACTGGGGCCCCGTATAGTATTATGGACAGTATTGATTGAAGCAATACTGTTTTTTTTGGGATCTGGGTCCTCCGATGTTGGGCATTAACTTGTTCAGTGTTGAGGTCCTTTCTTTCGCCTTTCGACATGCTTCTTGCACGAAGGTAATTCCTAAGTATCTGACTGTCCTTTGGGGTCTTATTTCGGTCTTGATATGCGAAAATTATATGGTTTCTTTTTCGTGGTCCCCTCAAGATTATTGCTTCTGACTTTTCTACTGCTAGCATTATTCTTATTATTCTTTTTCTTCACGGTGGCCAACTTTACTGCACTTTCTAGTGCTCTTCTCAGTTGGCCAAGGTCAGAAATCTCCTTTTTATTGATCTTTCTTACCTCCAACAGGTACGTGGTTTTGTTGAAATAAATTTCCGTGTGGTTTAACGGCCGCCTTATTCCCCTTTCATCTTTATTTCATATTTTATATACCGGTGGTAGGTGAATAACTGATCGACAAGGACATCCCATTCGTGCACTGTCCTGGATAGCCCTTCACTCGCGAATGTAATATCGATGTGTGTTCGGCTGGCCCCCTTACGAAAGTTGGTTTGTAATTGTTTAAGACTTTGAGATTTAAGATTTGTGGAGAAACCCCACAACCTTGATTTCGCGTTAATGTCACCGGCGATCAGCACTTCTTTTTCGTTCGTGGCGGCGCGGCGCTCATTATTTCGTCTACAATTTCTTTGTATCTTATCATAGGGATATTTGGGGACACGTAGCATGTCAGGAGGCTGAAATCCCTCAATTTGATACCAGGTTGATCTTTGAGGGCAACTTTGGTTCAGTTCCCAGAGGTCATTTCTGCATCGGATTCACGTATTTTGAGAACGTTAAAAACCATAAAAACTAAAATAAATAAATTAATTAATATAAATAAAATAGATAAATACGGTATATGGATAAAATATGTATAAATAAAAACATTCAATAAATAAAAATAGTTTGGTAAAATTGGAATAATTAAAATAAACTTCGTGGATATAGAATAACACCTAGGTGGGCTGTATATGGTGTAACAAAACTGTAATAAAATTTCTTCTGTTCCTTCACTTTGGGAAGCTACTGTAACCAATAGTAGCTAGATCACTTGGACAAGGTCCCTGATGTTATAAGATCGGTAAAGTTGTGTGAAGAAGTTGGAAACTAAATTAAAATAAAAGTTGAAACTGAATGCAGTTCGGCTAGCTGGGTATGCTTGAGACTGGCCAGTTGATACTCAAGGTAGGGTTAGGCCTATTTGCATGCCCTTAGAAAACAGTAAGGAATAGAAAGGATGTATATTATATAAGAAAATATAAGAAAAACCAAAACGAACTAAGAGTAAGTACTCAAAAACCGGAATAGAGGAAAAAAAAAGAATGATTTGGGCGCCAGGGAAGATGTTGACTGGACTCTTAGTCTAACAAACACTTCACCTAGTGACTTTATTGCTGTGGTTAAATATGTTTTCTATTACTAAATATAACCTTATAAAAAAAAAGAAAAAAAATAGGTGGTTTAATAAAACAGAGTATTACTGATAACCCAATTTAATAACTATAAAATAGAAACTTAGAAACCCCGTAATGTACAAATTAACTTAATACCCTATACAAAAATCCCCTTAACAAAGTTCTATATACCTAATCTAATTTTGAATACCCTTATAATATACAATATATTTACATTCAATAGTGTACTAGGAAAGTATCAACTTATTTTGTTAAGTTTTATTTATTAATTAACGCCAAATCTGATGACAACCAATGTTTCTATATATTTGAACAACTATAACCCCTCCCTATATTTATTACAATTTATCAGTTTGACAAGTTCTACGTTGATTCAAATCAGATCACCTGTATATATATATCTAAATTGGTCTGTCCAGAAAGGAACAGATCCAATATGAATTGGTGATATTACCAGTAGAGTTGTAGAAATACAAAATGGACCTTTGTGCACAAATGACCTTACAAAATTGTATTTAAATCCACCCCTACCATGTTATAACTAATACATATGTATATATATTTAAAATATTTGATGACAAAAAATGAGCAAATGATATTGAGAAAAAAAAAATTAACTGTTATATAAATAATGATATGAAAATATTAATTAAGAAAATTGACTAAAATGATTATTAAGGTTTTTTTTTCGTTCACTGATGAAAGTTTACACAAAATTTAAGGTAAATTATTTTAAAAAAATAGTCTGAAACAATTAAAAAAAAAACCTGACTACTTCCCAACAGAGAAGATTCTTCTTCTGGACGCCTTACGTCACTGGGACTCATAAAGGTGAAAGCTATATAAGCACACTCTCCTAGTAGTTAAACTAAAACAGCTATTCCAGTAATCGGGAAAAACCAAAAAACTTCAACCAAACTATATGGACTTCATTATCTCAAATTCAAAATAATCTTGAATTGACTTTATATTCGTTTTTACTCCAGCGACTAAATATAAAAATCAAAGAAAGCTCTCATTAGCTTTATTCTGAGTTGATAAACAAAAAGGCGGTTAGGACAAGAAAAACTAGCCCGAATAATGATAATTAGTGAAGGTTTGTACACTTTTTGTGACCTTGGAAAATTAATTGAAAACTATGGATTTATAAAAATAATGTTGGGATTTAACTATGAAGATTTCAAGGAGAAATTAAAATTTAACATATCTTAACGAATACATTATAGACCAAGAGTAATGGAGGTTCTCCTTACATTACCGAATTGCTTGGATATTGATGAGAACGTGTACTTAGGAGAATTTCTAACAGAAAGAATTCTGAACGTGATTTACTGATATAATTAGGGTAAAATTATTGTATAAATGATATTAATATGAAATTAAGAATGGTTTAAAAAAAATGATTTAGTTTAATTAAAATGAAACTCACCCAACGCAACACTATTTCAATATTTAAAACTAAAATCTTCTTATCCCAAAAATTCTAATATTAAAACAAAAAAACGCCTTCTGTAACTTAAATAGTGGATCTCTGAATAAATTAAGATGTTGTCCTGTTAACTTAAACACCACGTGCGTTGGTCGCTGGAATTAATCAATCCTCTGTCCCGATCAAAGGCTGGATATAAAGTGAGTTCTTATACTTTAAAAATCGTTCGCTTCCGTCGGCTCCAAGGTAAACGGAAGCGGCAGGTAAGCAGTTTGACCAAACTGATAAACAATTGATAATACCATTATGTACAGTTGGTTGCATACCTTACAGGCAGAATTAAGTTGTTTTAGAGTTTTCAGTAACGATAAAGTACTCTTATCGTTACAATGGGCCCACCTTCATTTTCCAAAAAGTCTATTTTATATTTTTTTTGGCGTATTTTATGAGTTCCCCTCTCTTCTCCTGCCGTATAGAAGGGCTCGGTAGGACGGACAAGCCATTCTGTCCATCCTATGCCCTTCTTCTTTGCATACCGAGCAGTACGGTTTGCTGGTGCAGTTTGCAGTTTTTAAACAATTATAGCAGCACGCCGCCCTGCTCTCTTCTTTGCATTCGTGTGTATTGTGCCCGAACTTTAGGCACTTATAGCATCTAATTGGGTTGTATCTCTCTATTATTGGACACCCAACCCATCCTATTTTTATTGTGCTGTATCTCCTCAGCTCTTCTGCTCTGGAGGGGAGTACGACTATCGTAGCCACCTGTTTCCCATATCTGTTGGCTCTTAGGGCCTTAACTTCTATCTCTCCCTCCACGACGCCTGTATAGCTCTTTATTGCTTTTTTTAAACTTTCTTCACTCACCCCAGGGTCCAGACTCGTAATCGTGAAGAAAGTCTCCTTTCTTTGGATTGCCGTGTCCATCCCGTTCATTTTGCCCAGTGTCCAGTTCGGCCCTCAACTTCTCCGCAGCCCCTCTCCCATTTAATTTTACAAGTAGATCTCCCCCATTCGTTTTTTTTTTAGCTTGTCTACTTGTACCCCGATCTTTCCAATGTCGATTTTCTCTCATTTCGCTAAGAACTTCGTTATATTTCTTTCCTTTCATCTTTATAAGGAGAGCTTCCTCTTGTTCCACTCTCCTCTCTGCACCGAGTTCCTTCCCTCTTATTAAAATTTCCCAGGATATACTATCTCTTTGCCCTACATATTCGAGAGCTTAGCTTATGGTTTCCTTATTTAGGTCGTTTGCGATTACAACCCGCATGGCCTCTGGGATTTCGTTCATTTCTTTCCTTATGTCCTTTATAACCTTTTCTGCCATGTCGCATGCATCTTTCCCCAGCTCTTTGTCTAATCTGGCAACAAAAGTATACCATATTGTTCTTTTATTTGCTTTTTTTCTAGTGTTCTCTAGGTAATTTATTTCTCCATACCTTTATCTTTCGCTTCCTTTTTTTGTAAATATTATACAGTTCTTTTTTTCTACTGTTTCTAGTAGCCCCGCTTATTACCACTTTGTCTTTACACATACTTTCTCTTCCCATTTACTGTCGCATATACTCATAAATGTTTTTTTCCCTTTTCCCATGTTTAATGCCCTTTTGATTTTTTCTTGTTCTTGTTTCTGCTCTTCCTGCTCCTCTTTTAGTTTACAATGGTCACATTTTAATTCGTGTTTGGTTTTTTCGGTTATCCTATTATCCTCCCTTTTGTTGTTTGTGGATTTTATAATCCCTATCAATTTTTTTAAATCGGTGTCCACCTCCAGCTTTTTTCCCTGTTCGCTAAATTTGTTAAATATTTCCTTGAGTTTTGTACTTATATATATATCCAGTTTTTTAGGCGTTACGCCCGTCCGGTAGGGATCTATGGAGGAGAGTAGATATACTATGTACTTCCTGGACCACCCCTAAATTGCAACCCCTAAAATCGCAACCCCCGGTCGTAAGTTCCAAACGGCTTAACCTAGGATGACGTACGAGGGCTCGTTGGAAAGGGGATGAAAAATGGGGTTGAATGCAGTATGTGCTGTGCGCATCAGAGCATGCCAAAAGGTCATTATGGGGTATCTTCGTTTCTATTGGTCCGATCGTGACGTACGAGGGCTCGTTGGAACGGGGAGAAGGCGGGGAGACAAAAAACAAAGATGGCGGCGTTGCCAAATGAGCGCTATAACGTATCTTCGTTGCTATTAGTCGGATTTTGACGTATAAGGTGTCAAAGCGTTGGATGTCACGTGACATTCGACGCAGGACGTGACATTTGTCACAGAACGTGACATTTGCCGCAGGACGTGAAATGTCACGTGAAATGATGTGACATTCGACGTAGGACGTGACATTTGACGCAGGACGTGACATTTATGTGACATTTGACATAGAACGTACAATGTCACGTGAATTGACGTAACATTCGACGCAGATCGTGAATTGACGTGATATTTAACGCAGGACGTGACATTTATGTGACATTTGACGCAGAACGTGAAATGACGTGACATTCGACGCAAAACGTGAAAATGTTGCGTGAATAACGTGACATTCGACGCAGGACGTGACATATATGTGACATTTGACGCAGAACGTGAAATGTAGGAATTACGTGACGTGAGACGTTTTGACGTAACAGTTATGTGTCAGTCAAGACATCGCTTGACATAAAACGTGACATTCAACATAGGACATATTCAGTAGTACTATGAATTCCATCGAGTACAGACATAGGGTTATGGAATTTCAACGTAAACTTGATCAGTTAAATAGAGACATTAAATCATATGAGAATATAAAACAAATTAAAAGACAATTAGATAGCCTGCATATTGAGGAAAAAACGTGGAAACCAAAAGAGTTGAATCTACAGCAGCAGCAGCAACAGCAAGACACCTGGATTTACGCCTGCAGAAAACTGCCACCAGCTTCATATCCATTGAGACGTATTCAACCAATACCATGGACGTTAGCAACAACACCAGCGAGCATATGAAAAGTGAAATAGACAATGTCTTTGCAATGTCTTGTGTAATATTAGCATCTGTATTTATTCTAATTTTAAAAATTATTTTCGAAATTGTAAGGAGAAAATTTGAATTTTCTTGTAATATAAGACTCGATCAATAAAGATGTGATAAATAAAAAAAAGCGTTTAATTTCTAATATATTTATTTATACATAAAATTACAATGGCATTATGTTATTGGCAAACCAGTGACGTAGACGATCCACATTTCTTTCGGTGCATGAAAATAATCCAGAGGCATGACATGGGTTTGCAGTAGAGCCAACGTTTCCAGTAACATGAGGTGTACCATCAAACTTGCAAACATCAATAATAATGGGAAAAACTCCAAAAACGTGACGTTTCTTATCCAAATATTCTGCTTTTTGTTCTCCTCGAACGTATATGTAATCTGCTGCATACAACAACTTGGATTCTAGTATTTCATTGATTTTGGATAATTCTACGTGTCCATCAGAGTATCGAATTCCAAGCAGTTTTTTCTCCACGTATGATGCAGTCTTCTTATCCCTATTACTTAGCGCATTAAAAGGTTTCTGAGGCAAGAAGATGTAATGACTTCGTTTAAATCCTATTTCAACGGTAAGTTCTTTGGGAACAAACCATCCGTCCACATCGAATCCCTGAATGTCTACGAATGCTACTCTCATGATGACTGCTCGTGTACTACTAACAAGTTATGCATCTAATTTAGACTTTTTACAATTTCGGAGCAATGAATTATTAAAACATAGCCCACAAGTATTACGGGAATTACTGGCGTATGTCTTCACCTTATTCTATAATGGACACGACTTACCACCGGAGTGGACAAAAGCACATATTAACAACATATACAAAAAAGGAGATAGAAAGAATTGTTCAAACTATAGGGGGCTCAGTGTCATAAATTCACTATCAAGACTATATGGAAAAATAATAAAAAATAAAATTGAAAAAGAGATGACAGATGTAGAAGAACAGAATGGCTTTCGTGCAGGCAGATCCTGCATGGACAGTATATTCTCTCTAAAGCAAGTTATCGAAAAAAGATTAGCCCACAACCTTTCAACTCATATAGTCTTTATAGATCTGACAAAGGCATACGATAGTTTACCACTTTCAATGCTTTGGGTAGCAATGGAAAAACAAGGAATAAGCAAAAAAATATACAAGCAGTACAACAGCTCTACAAAAATATGACGGCAAACATTAAAACTGGAAATAGATTAACCAGAGAAATTCCTATTAGTAAGGGCCTAAAGCAAGGCTGCTGCATAGCACCTACACTCTTCAAAATATATCTAAATGAGGCACTCTCACTGTGGAGAAGAAAGTGCTGCAATATGGGCATCCCAATCGGAGATGATAGATTGTACACGATACATTTCGCTGATGACCAAGCCATTCTAGCTGAAGACGAGAGTGATATAAGCTACATGCTTAGAAAACTGGAAGATGAGTACACCAAATGGGGCCTCACAATTAATATACAAAAAACTGAGTACTTAGTTGTAGGAGAACAACCAGAAAGCCTACAAATAGAAATGGGAACTATAAAACCAACAGACAATTTTAAGTACTTGGGAGTCCAAATAACATCAAAAGCAGGAAGTAGCGAAGAAATACATTCCAGGATTGGCCAAGCAAGATCAGCCACCAGACAGCTACACGGACTATTATGGAATAAAAAATAACAAAAGAAAATAAAAGAAGAATTTATAAAACAATAATAGAAAGTATTGGACTGTATGGCGCCGAACTCTGGGAAATAAACCAAAGAAACAAATCAAAAATTAAGGCCATGAAAATGAACTACTGGAGACGATGTTGCCAGCTCACTAGACTAGATAGGGTGAGAAACGAAGATATTCGGAGAGAAATGGAAATCGATCTTGACATAATAGACACAATCGAAGCCAAAAGACTTAACTGGTATGGACACCTTCAGAGAATGCCGGAAAATAGATGGCCAAAAAAAATAGAAGAATGGACTCCGCCAACTAGAAGAAAACGAGGTAGACCAAGACGATCCTGGAGAGACGATGTCGACGATGCAATGACCGCCAGAGATCTAACAACTGAAGATTGCTTGGACAGAAAACGCTGGAAATTAGGATGCGAGAAGCGGCGCCAGCTGTAGAAGACTCGCTTGTTATATATATATATATATATAATATATATATATATATTATATATATATATATATATATATATATATATATATATATATATATATTATATATATATATATATATATATATACAATTTCGGAGAGAGGGAAGTACTCCATTACACAGTCGTGAATTATAATGCAATAAGCCTTGGTATTTTCGGGAAAACCATTATTCGCTTCAATATCGAGTTTTACGTCAACAGTGGATGCTTTCATGCTTTCTTCTTGCTTTGAACAATCGATGACGAACAATGTGTGTTGTGCGAAACCTGAGAAATCGAGCAGAGGACGCTTTTGTTGAGAATGTATGTAGCTAGGATAGAATTCGGTATAATTGAAATAGGCCTCATTGTAGTCAAATTTGCTAAAATCCAACTGCGTTCTCTCGTTCGGCCAATATTCTCCATTTAAAGATAATCTGATACTTTGTATGTGGATATTGTCAAATAAGGTGGGATCGGCGTCGCTTTTGTCACGTTTATTGGTTTGAAAGAAAACAATGACATAACGAGGTCTTTCCACTGCATTGCTAGTTTTTACAGCCCAAACTTCACGTCTAGCGCCTTTGGTAAGTGCTGGTAATTCATGCAATTCTCACTTTCTAAAAGGAATAACTATAGGTTGATCTTGTTGAATGGATTTCATAAGTTCCAATTTAATATCATCATTGGGAAATATGTGCTTGACTCTAAGCTCAATATTGGTAATGTTAATCTTAACAGTTGTAACATGACCTGGAGTTTTTTCTTTGACAATTATGCAATCGTTGTCATTTCGAGCTCGAACTAGTCTTATTGTTTGACGACCACACGTAATCATAGGATAATCATTGAAAATGTTGAAAACATGCTTAAGAGGCATCTGTATGTTGAATGAATGATCGGCAGCGTGTAGAATTGGATCCTTAGGGTAATTCCACCCCGCCATTGCCA